TATATATATATATATATATATATTAAATTTAACACAAACTTACTGTGCCACGAGGGGGTTTGACAGCGTAATATATCTTGTAGGACTCCACGATGTGTGGGGTCAATGGACACCAAACTTTTTTTTATGTATTTTAATTCAACAAGAAAAAAATAACTCTGAATAGAAGGATCAGTATTTCCTACCATCCCCGTACTGTGGTTTATAATTTTACATACTTTATTAGATACTTCTCTTTCTAAGATGTATGTTGTTGTTTTTTACCTAGAAGGGCTTAGAGAGGCCTGCTGGTTCTCTATAGTTGGTAAACATATTAACATTTGGGACCTGTTGATTGAAAGACCATGACCCCAAAACAGTGAACTCCTCTGGAAGCCAAAAGTCATTGGAGACATACCTGTTTAGGTAACTCCATATAGTATTTTGAATTCCCCCAAACGAATTATTCTCAAAAGGGATCTCCTACATCCCTTAGCCAGATATTCTTGCTGGTCTCTTTCTCACATCACGAAATATGAGCTCTCTGGCAAAATTCCACTGAAAAAATGGAATATCTGATACAAGTAGAATGCTCATTTTGGCACATACATCCACACACCAACCTGCAATGTCAAGACAGGTTATTTGAGCTGCAATGTGAAGTATTATATACTAAACCTTGTCCAATATTTTCACTGTCAATGTCCCAGACACCCCAAAACATCTTGCTGTGGTTCTTTAACCTGTATTTTTTGTGGTGGCAAAGATCATGATGACTTTGAGTGTCAGTTAAAAGAACCACATTGTGTCACTTGGAGGTTCAGTATGTTGCAGGACCTCTGTTATTATGGGTCATGTGGACCTTTCCTAAGTTTCGTTTTTATCCATAACGTTTTAGTGGAAAGGTTATTCCAGGTCTGTATGCCATCAACACTATCATGATCCTTCACACAAGAAATCGGAATATGTCAGGGCTGTGTCTTGAATTTATTTTATAGCATTAAGATCAGTTTATAACTGAACAACTTCCTCCAACAGTTATAAACAGCCTTTTATGAAAATAACTTTCAGATTTCATTTAATACATTTAATATGAGATGCACTGAGCAGCAACTCCAAACTGTTCTCAATAAACTATGTGGATGGACTACTGTAAATGATTTTCATTTTTCATCCTCTAAAATTGTTTGCAATTTTTCCACCAACGGGAATTAAACTTGGATCCTGAGCTCCATTTGGGTGATATAGCCGTCTATTTTGCACGGTAATGAGAGGTAGAAAAGTTGTTCTAGAAAGGTTTCACATTGGCCACAGTTTTATTGCACAAAATGTTATTTTGCACAGTAATGATCCTCCAATGTGTTGTAATACTTAAGTCACATTTGTCCATATGTTAATTTAGTGCTGTCGCTACGACAATCAGCGGCAGCACAATCTCAGACACGTTTTAACTCATGGTGTCCCATTGATGCTTGGCAGTGTTGTTGGAAATGGTAAAAAGTGTCCAACTTGATCATAGACCGCTACTATGTCTGATGTATCCTAGTCGGTCTGATGAGCCTTGGTATTGGGCGAAACGCCGCGTTGGCACTTGATGCAGCAGATGTAATGTAGTTGATATATTATGAAATATTCTCATTTCTTTTCACTCGTGAGTTCTTATAATTTAACTCTTAATCATTTAAGCTTATTCGAGGAAAAATACCTTTTATATTTATTATGTTTTTATGTTATACCATAATATTTTACTATTAATTTATTTTGAATAATTGTTATATCGAAAAAAAAGAAAAAACGTTCGGCTAGATAGCCTATAAAGCCTTACGCCATTAAACTACCTATATATAGTTAATTTTGAGGTGTGTTGCCAAACTTGTTGTCAATTTAAATACCAAGGCTATCGAAGAAGAGGAATAATTTCAAACCAAATGAAAATATTTGTCGTCATATATGTATTATTATTATTACGAATATTGGTGGGTAATATTATTAATATATGTATATATTTATTGTAGAACCATTTGGTACAACACTTGAACCTCTATAAAGTGTTACATTTTGAATACTATTTTCAAACATGAGATCGCGTGATACTAATTAAAAATACACATAAAAATTAAGTAGCTGTTTTATAGTATTAGACTTGGTTTAGGATAGAACATTTTCAACGTTATGGACCTGATTTTTAAGCTTTTGACTCGTATGTTTCTCAGCAAGATGATTTGAAACACTGTACCGAACTTATGGTTGTGTTGGCATTAGCAATTCAAATATATTAATGTACGATAAATTTATATTACATTATTTCAGTTATACTTGTTATAAGACACTAGTATTAGGCCTATTATGTTTTTAAACACTACATTCTTTATTTAGTCCCTTAGGGATTTTCTAGAATTAGAATAGTGTATAATAAATAGTGTTCCAACCACACTATATTCGTCTTATCTATCATAATCAAAAGGCGTTCACACCGCAATAATTTGTATTACATTACTTCACTTTTGTGATGATAGCTAACCCGTTTACAGTAATTAAAAAAAAAAGATTGAATTATATGGTTTGATGAACCGTTTAGAGAAGATATTTAAACTTTAATTTGTTTTTGTTGTTGTTGTTTAACAAAAATGCATCTCAAATTCCTTAGTCTTGATTGTTTTAATAAAATGTAGGTTTGTAAGTTGTCTGTAGTTGGTGCGTCGAAAGGTAAATGATGATAAACTAAATATTTTGCTAACTTCATTCACTACAGATGCAAATTAACTTAATGTTCTTTCTTTTTTATCATGTAACTAATTTATGTTTTCATTTATTTAGAGATATTGGAGGTCTAGGCCTGAGTTTCGTTTTTCAAAGGAAAAGTGTTTCCTTATTTATGTGTTATTTTGTTCCTGTCAGTTTTTTTTTCTTGCAGCTGTCTACTGAAGCTTCGATATATCTAACTAGACGAAGAAAAAACAGAATACAAGAGAAGAAACAGACTTTCTAATTATTGACCATAAAAATCACACCCATAGAAGAGAAACTTTCCTTAGTACATAAAGTTCACGATACTGCTGTTGATCGTAGCCTGGAGACTGCTTCACAACCATTATGGAAAAACCAGAAAAAATAGTGGAAGAGTTGATACATCAAGAGGGAGTGAAACCTGAAGCAGAATGTATTTCCTTACAAACAGCTGGCAGCAGTACATCACATGGTTTAGAATCTGGCGAAATGCAGGCCTCTTATAATGGGCAAGAAGAATTAGTAGAAGATGTGTCAATTGCTAATCGAGATATTAATGCTAATGAACTTACGGAAGAAGAAAAGCCCTTAGATCATCAAATAGACATTAGCTGTTCTTCTGAAAAACAAATAACGTTGGAGGTAGAAAGAAAATTCATAGTTCCTGCTGACTGTGAAACATTGATTGAGAGTCTTGGCGGAACATTAATTGAAGAGAAACACTTCCAAGATGACTATTATGACACCGAAGACTACAGCTTGACCATTAGAGATTATTGGCTACGACAAAGAGACGGAATATGGCAGCTAAAATATCCACCAGAACAGAGAGCTGAAAGTTCTTCCACATCTCAGTATTGCGAAACAGATTCTGAAGACCAAATTTGCGAGCTTTTAACTAAAGTTCTGCAGTCTTACCTTGGCAGGCACGATATGCATGTGTCGGGAATTGTGCCCGTGTCGAACATTGTGTCTTCCATTTGCCATAACTTCGCGTCTTTCAAAACGAAAAGGAAATCGTATAAAATAGACGATATTAAGATCGATCTTGATATGATGGACTTTGGATTTAACGTTGGTGAAATTGAGATAATTATACATCGTCGCTCTGATCTGTCACAAGCCTTATCTCGTATTGACGACCTAGCCTCCAAATTAGGTAATTTCTATCACTAGTTGATCTGTATACGTTTTATTATTATTATTATCTAATTTGAAAATGTTGTTGCCTCCCTTTATATCCAACAAATTAATCCTAATACCCAGTTACACTATTAAGTTGTAATAAGTAAGATTACGCATTTTTATAATAAATTTGTTGGAAACACTATTATGATTATTAGAAAGAAACCTGTGTTAGATTACTTACTCCTTTTTAAAGACAGGACGTCAGAATATTTATATTGGTGGGAATGGAGGAGAGTTCACAAGAGTGTCACGTTTAAATATGTGATTTGACTTATAATAACAAGTTTATCTGATCATAAAAGATGTATCTTCCCTTTGGCGAAAATAATTTCTAAAGCCAGAAAATACTATGGTCAGTTTTACTAAGTCCAGAAATGTTTTTAGATTTTATGGGTGGAAGCCAGGAATCATAGCATTTTTGCTACAGACAAACACTAGTTTAACGTGATTTTTTTATTGCGAACATTTATATTTATTATTTCATTCGTATTGTGCCACTGCAACAGACTGGTCGTGGTCTAGTGATTAGTATGTTCGGACTGTGGATCCTACTGTTCATGATTTGCGTTCCCTTCTCGCGAAAACGTGTTTTGGGGTCATGGGTGTGCTACGTACGAGTAACTGTCAGCCAAGATTTGACGGTGGACGATGTTGATAAAATGCATCTTCTTTAGTCTGTCAGCTCAAAATCGGGGGTGACTGCGCGAAGATAACCCTTGTGTAGTTTTGCTAAAAAATTGAAACTAAAGTTTTTTAGACACATGATGTAAGTATAGCTCAAGATTTATGTTTATCATACCTTATACAGGATAAAGTACTTCCATTAGCTATTTGACATGATCATTGAGGATTACATATGATAAAGTGTAACTACATGGATCATTACATTTTCAGAAAACGATGTGAAGTTTTTTAATTTTGTATATAGCAGTCAGTAACAATTTGGTACTTGTAAAAGTATCCAAATACAAGATGACGTGACTATATTGTCTCTCTAATATCCAACAAAGAATTTTAGATTTCTGTTGTTAAGTGGCATTTATGCTATGACGGTCTTCAACTTCCGTGTATATAACCTTGGTTTAAACAAGGATAATGTAGTCCTTTCGTGTGTGTTTATACATATCTATATGTTTACATTAGTCTGAATTTGCATTTTGAAAGCAGCTATCCATAGATTAATAGTTATTATATCGGACAATTCTATTCTTCATCTTAATTTATTGGCTCTTTTATTAGTGCTGGTGTTTTACTTCCTTGCTAATCACAGTAGAAAATCACAAACGACAAGAAAGCATACTTATGTTTGTAAAAACAGTGTAGTAGAAATATCATTTGTTGTTGTTATTTTGATGACACATTTCGATGACGTGCTTGCCTCAAGTAAATTGAGGGGGGAAAAAACGTAAAGCACTTGC